ATTAATAGTAATTTAGCCATTGTTTTTTGTAACAAAGTTATATATATTGAATTTTAATTTCATATTCCCAAAGTCAATCAAACTTGTACACTAAAATATTGATCATTTTAAATTTTCATTTCACTTTTCTAATCTTGATGCACTAGTAAAAAAGTTGCTCAAAATGCATAATTATGGGTTTTAACTCATCTTTTAACATTAGTATTTTTAAAAAATCTAGAATGTTTTTACGAACAAATTGGAAAAATCTCGCTAAGAACTGATGAAGTCACACGTATTCAAAAAAAGTGGCATTTGACAGTCATTCAATTTGGTTCATTGAAGGAAAACTTAGAATAAGACGAAGACTAAAAATAAAGATGAATTTTTTAATATATTAGAAGAAGAATGGTATAACCTAGATTTGAACTATTTAAATAGCATTCCATGTAAGTAAAGGATATCCTACTAGGTATTATAATTTTTCTGATCGTATTTTTTTTTGAATGCATGTGACTTCATCAGTTCTTAACTAGTTTGGATGAACTTTTTATTTTTTTAAATTTGTTCGTAGCTTTAAGAACCCAAATTTGTTTCTAATATATAAATATTTTCTCTGGCTAAAAAAACCCCCAATTGGAATCGCAATCTTCAACTTTTGGATGAATTAGATTTTTAAAAACTAATGTTAAGAAAATTCATAACTGTATATCAATATGTAGTGATTGTATCCGTCGATTATCTGGGTGTTTGAGTGCTTGGGCAATCAATAAAATCCAACGCTCGGATAATATGTGATTACTCGATTATTCACCGAATATCCGCCGAATGTTGGATTTGTAATTATCTCGTGAGCGTGAAATATAATTAGTTGTGGAAGAATTACCACCACGTATTTTTACGCTACAATTTACCACAACGTCAGGTGCTTTGGATATATTCATTTTACGTAGTGCATTTTTAGATATGGTTCAGTCACTATTAATAATCTCAATTGGATCCATGGATTTTTTGGAACCTCTTTTTCGATTGTATGGCCATGGTAAATTTCTTTTGGATGCAATTGTTATTACTTGATATATTATATTATCCGGTAAAAATCTTCAGCACCCGGATCAATCAAACAATAATCGGTGATGAGAAATTTTTTTAAATGATCGGCATTTAGCTACTTTGAAAATTTCATGTGACATCTGTATCCTGTAAATATAATTTTCTTTTTTTATTAATAAAATTGAAAAAAAAACAACTTCACATTATTGCTTGGGTCAAAAAATAAGTTTTTTTTTTGCAATTTTCCATATATTAATATGGCTTTCGATTCTTAGCCATAATTGGCAATTTTTGATGATATTATTTGGTAATACGTATGACTATAATTAGAATTGTTGCAGGTCACCCACCGAGCTTTCTGTTATATATTAATATATTATTAATATTGACTTTTTATTTAATTAATATATTTTGAGATGATTGAGATTATTTGTAATGATAGATTAGGTAAAAAAGTTCGTGTAAAATGCAAGTATGTATATAATAATATTAATGACAATATTAATATTAATAATGAACCTTAAATTTTAACTTCATCGTTGTTGTTTCATTGATGTTAATGTTTGGTTTTAGTCCAACAGACACGGTTGGTGAATTAAAGAAATTAATTTCAGCCCAAACTGGCACTGATCCTTCAAGAATTATTTTAAAAAAATGGTAAAGTAATTTTTTATTTATCATTGTTACTTTTAATAATTTATTAATAAATTATTTACAATTGTTGATGATTGTTTAGGTATACAACTTTTAAAAATCATATCACATTGGAAGATTGTAATTATCATCATTATTAATGATTTATGTTGATATGTTTACATATAATAATAATAATAATTTATTTTTATTTTTTAGATGAAATTAATGATGGAATGAATCTTGAATTGTATTATTCATAATTTTTTTATTGTTTACAAATTTATCATTAATTATTTTTTTCAAATTTAAAATAAAGATGATATTCATCTATAAATTATAAATCATAATGGTAAAATTCTTGAAACCATGCAAAGTTGCATCTGGTAAATATTCTGGATGATTGATTGTAAAAAACCTTGATGAAGGTACTATGAAATATTCTGTGGCCATCCTATAGCATATGGAATAGATTAAAAGTGACAAAACATATTGGTGCTAAAATATATTGCCAAATGTTTTAAAGTTGTACCTTTCAATTATAGTCATTTAATGCCAATCAGATATACCTTTGAATTGGATGATATCAAATGATTTGTTAATGATGAATGCTTCAAAGAACCAAATCAATGATTATCAACTAAAAAGCTTTAAAGAAAACTTTATAAACAAGATATAAATCAGGAAAGGCAAATGTTTTTTACTAAATTGAGATTTTAAAATTTTAATTTATTATCAAGTTCTCTTATACATATATATATTTATTTCATCTTTGTATAATCGATCTTTTATTAGTATTATTTGTTCTATTCATTTAAATGTAAATAGAATTATACATTAAAAATGTCATTATTAAAAGAATCAGATTTCTTTAAAGTGATCTTTGAATAGTTTTGAGCTGTAATATTTTCTTATTAAAAAAAATTTTTTATTTATATATGTTAGACCTTAAAATTATTTATTATTATAATGTTGTAAGTTAGAAAGAAAGAGAAAACAATTTTACCGGGTTGAACAAAGTTAAATACATTCTGCCAATTACGAAGCACATTACCGATAACTATATAATAATAATGAATGTTACATGCGTTTATATAAAAACACGTACACATGTAGTATGTATGTTGTAAATACCTTCACATCCTTCATTTAACTGTTGAATTTGTAAAGCCAATTGATCAAAATATTCTGCCAATTCTTCTGAAGTTTTCTTCATCTTTAATAAATTTTCATATTCTTTTTGTTTTTCTTGAATTCTAATATTGAGAAGTATTTGTTTGGCAGTAGGAATATCTTGTTTTTGTTGTTGTTGTAGATTTTTATTGTTATCATTAGTATCAGTAGTTATTGGTACAGATACCTGTTGAGAAAGTTGTTGAAAAGTTTTAAATGTATTGTTTGCTGACATTATAAAATTTTTTTTTTTAAATCTACGCGTTTTTATTAAAGTTTTGATATCTGATAAACCAAGGGACTGAATATCATGTGATTATATAACATATAGGAGGGCGTCCAAGCACAACATATATCCCAAGATTGGAATGCTCTTTGCCATAGGAACGAACAAGAGTGGTTGAAAAGCTCATAACACTAATTGGCAGCAATTATTAAGGTGTAGATATTATTCTCTTCAAAGAAAATGTCAATTCATTTGATAAATGTTGGAATGAGTTTGATAGTATAATATTATAATATTATATAATGTAAATTAAAAAAAAATTACAATTAAATCTAATTGAACAATATCCAATTTAGACAAAGGATCACTAATACTTTTTGAATAATATATAAAACACCTTGGATTTGGAAGGCTCTTGATGGTGGTGATACTTCTGCTAATGAATAGTTGCACAATTGTCAAATTATTCATTAAAAGTTCAATCATATGATTTTGAATTGTTCTTGAATTACATTCTGTAAAAATCTGGTGGATTATGTGCAAACAACAAAACAATCACATTTAAAAATTTAGCAATATCTCCTCACAACACTAGTTGTGAAAGGATATTTTTGGTTTTAGGATGATACATGAATAAGAGATGTACTAGATAATTATTTTGAATATCATATTTATATAAATAAAGTTATTTACTATTATTCATTTTCAGTCAAACTGTTCACTATGGCACATATGCATTCATGTTATGTTTCCAATACAAAAGATGAAATTAAAAATGTTTATCAAGAATTAAATGAAACAAGTAATAATTCAATCACACCTCCCTTTTGATATTTTGACTCAAATGATGATGATGATGATAATAATGATGACTGCATCTCAAATAAATCAAAATCATTTAGCATTTGAGGAATTAATAGATGTGGATGACCAGGAACTCTAATGTGTTTTAGAAATTGAAGTTTCTGTTGTATAAAGTTGTTGAAGATGGAAATCCAGAATTTGATATATAATCAATTGTAAACAATGTACAATCAAGAGGGATGTTAATGGTGATAATGAGTAATCTTTTTTTTTTATTAAAAATTTTGGATGTTATTAAAAAATTTTTTATTTTAAAGTATGTCCAAAGTAGTTTGGGATTTGGGCTAACTTGGGTGGTGGGTAGCATCTATAATTTCCATCATTAAAATAATTCAAGTTTTGGATTTTTTATTATTATTACATATCTCTTGGTAATATTTCTATTATTTTCAAAGTTTTCCCTTGTATCATTAAATGTATTACTGGTATCAAAAGCATTATCTTCAGCTTCTTCATAAAGTTACACAATATTAATTAAGAGGCATGAACTAATGAAAGAATGTAATATTATTCATCATTATGTGTGAAATTAATGATTACATAAATGCCAAAAAAAAAAAAGGAAAGAAAATGAATACACACAGAGCCTGTTTTCTGATGAAACTTTTATCCAAGTTTCAGGTAACAAATTGATGTATTCTATGAATTCTTTATTTTTAATTTATGATTAATGGAGAATGTGGACTTTATGGGTGAAGAATATAGATGCTGGTCGCAATTCTTGGTGATGGTTGCAACCATATTTGCAACATATAAAAATGGTTTGTGACACCTGGTTGCAACCACCTTTGGAACCACTTTGGCTTCCTTTTTTGGATTGCAACATGGAACACTAATTGGAACAAGATATCAAATCTGAACTTATAAAATTATATGACTCTTCATCTAAATGGTAATCAAATAATAAAGCTATTTCATTGATTATATGTAATCAAATTAATTTTCGTGAAATTATTTATTCTAGTGATATAATTAGGATTGGTGTGGTGGATTTTGAAAAAGAATATAATAGCTCTAATTTTGTCAAACTCAAAAATAAATTTACTTTAAGATCCCAAAAAACATTCTAGAGATGATTAAAAATATTTCTAAAGTCAAGACACTAGAAGAATCAGAAAAACTTCTAAAAAGGATCTACAGTAGCCATTCATTATTTAGCTCAGAAATTAGATTGAGTTTGGAAGTGGCGATAAGAGCATCTGCAGAAAAAATGTAATCATATAATAATATTCTTTCAGAGGATAAATAATACATATAACTGATTTGAATTTACTTAATAATACTTAAAAAAAATTTTAAAAGATTTAGGTATTTTAGTCTTGATACATTTTATTGGGAAAGGAATGTATCAGAGAGTCATATAAGCCATGGAATGTTCTTAGACTTATTTGTAAATTTATTTTATGATGGAATGAAATATTTAGTAGATGACCAAAAGTATAAGAATTTTTAGAATTTAATCTTTGTTGCACATTTTCAGTTATCTAATTTTAGATTTTATATATTACAATTACATTTCAGAGAACTTTTAGCTAATAAAAGCCATTGTATCTCCTTACTTGTTGGAAAAAACTCTGTAAAGGCATTGGTTCCAGATATTAAAATACTTTTAGAAAAAGAGATTTAGAATGTTTAGTAATAGAACATGGAAAATTTGAAGCAGTAATTGATAATGGAAAAGCATTAAGTGATAGAGGTATTGTTTACTAAAAAAATATATATTAAATAGTTTATATATTTGTTTCAAGCAATTAAAATAATTTAAAAATTTTTATTAGATAAATTATGCACTCTATTGCATGATATGCTTCATTCATATCATAAGTTATTAAAAAAAGGTGAAAACTAGTGATGTTAGCCGGCTAATAATCTGCATGCATAATTTCTAAATTTGGTAATAGATTTCTGCATTACTTTCTTGTTATAGAAATAAAATTACCAATTTAGGTAGTAAACGGTTTAGCCGGCTAAGGATTTTTAAACGGCTAACATCACTAATTATAATAGACAAGGCATGTATAATGTTATTATATTTTGTTTATTCTAATTATTTATTAATCAGTCTTAACTGATATTTATGCAGCTGAGTACCAAAAAAATACTTGAAATTGGTGAAAATTGGGCAGTAGATGGAATAAAATTAACATTATTGAAAATTTCCACTTGGTTACCAGAAAAGAGAGAATGTTTGACTGATTTGCTCATGAAACAAAACAATAGAATAGGATTGGAAAAACAAATAGATTTTAATGATGCCATAAATTTAGCCAATACATGAATGATAAAATGTATTTTTCAGGTCATAGATGAGTGGTACTTATGATATTAAAAATTTAAAATTTTGATCTTCCATAATATAATGGCAGGGTTTGACAGTACTAACAGATTTATTGCTAAAAAAGCGTAAAAAACATAAAATTAGGCCTACCACCAGCTGGTGAAAGAAATTGTGATATTCATTTTGTGATACCATTTATGGAAATTATACATATAGAAGCTGAATATCATTAGTAAGTTAATCTTTGAAAATTACTACAGTTTGTACAACGATCTTTATTAACTATGTATTTGTAGTGTTGATTTAATATCTTCTGCTTCTGTAGCATATCAAAAGAGATTTGGAAGGGTTGGACGACACAGTGATTATATTTTTGGTGTAAATTTTTAAGAAATTAGCCATTTTTGACTATTTTTATTTATGTATTTATGAGCTCTTGTTTTTTTTAGTTTAAATAATGATGATACAAAACAAGGGCGTGAATTTGGAAATGTGGAAAATTCAGGTCCTGATACAAAAGATCATTATGACAAATCCACAACAGATTTTTTAAGAGTAATAAAAGTAGCTCATGATCAAAATTCTGCTCTTCTGCAAGTTGTAAATTTGGCAGCTGGTGGTTCAATGGATGCTAATTTACAATTAATAGTCAACAAAATATCACTTATTGGCATTTGTATTGTAGGTTATACTATAAGGGTGTATGTTGTATTTTATCTTGGTAACGGGGTATGGATTTCAGATGAGGTAGCAATTTTCACCTTACCTAAATTTACTATAAGCAGTTTGTTAGATATAAGTAATGCTTGCAGAACATTCTTTTTGTAAAAGTGAGTTTTTTTTTTCTCTCATACATATTGTATTGCTTACAGCTAATATACTATCTTTTATTTTAGGAAGTCATTAACAATGCAAAAAAAATATTTTCAGCAGCTATTACTTATGCTTGTAATAACAGGGAACTTCGAAAAAGTGCAGTGTTAACTCTGAAACATGTAACTGATCATGATATAATTGATGAAATTCCTATACCAACAAAAAAACCTTGGGTATAGAATTTTATTGTTTTGATATATATGATTATGTAACCCGTTTTCTCAATATTGAAATATTTTTCTTAATAGGTTGAGAGGCCAAGCATTAAAGAAAGAAAGTGTATGATAATTGAAAATAAATTAACCAAAAAAATTTTTTTAAAAAAAGAATATGTTAAGAATGGTTTTAAAAGAATATTTTTATTTATATTCTATTAAAGGCATTGGTGTGTGGTTTTTGAAACAAAATTACTTCATGTATTTAAATTTGCTTATAAAAAAACAATAGAATGAATTGAAGATTTCTACACACAATTTCTTTTTTAACCAACTGTTTTAAGTAAAAAATGTTAATGATATTCCTTATTAAAGTTAAAGGTACTTTATAAGTAATAAATTAATAAAAACTTCATTTGAAAATTTTAAAAACCCATTCTTATTCTTACTGATTTTGTGAGGACTTTATTTATCACTATCTTATAATCCTCTATTAGCAGCAATGGCTCTGTGCAACAACCACTTTAAAACATACTCTCTTGACGATGTTTACTCATAGTATTCTTTGTGCTCGGTTTTTCTTTTTGCTTGCGGATTTGTTAGCATTTTTTAAAGAAAAAATAAAAAGATTTATCATTATCCCAAAACAAAAAACTTATTGAGAACGGAGAATTTCCAGACATTTGCCTTAAAAATATTAAAAAAATTAACCAAAATCAAGCCTTAAAAGAGGACTTATTTACCAATTTTTGATATACAGCAAAACACTGAGTTATTTAATAAGGAAATGGATTATCAAATTTATTACTACTTCTACCTACAAAACTGAAAAGTTATCAGATTCGCATAGATTAGGGTTAATGCAGGAATTTTTTCTTGAGAAGTACTACCTTCACTCCTAATCAATTTGCTTTTTTGTTCCTTTGCTGTTACATTTTCATGAATGCATTTTTTTGGAACTAATTATAAGGGATAGTAGTAATGTGCATTTAAAACAGATAATCAATAATACAATTGTGATGTTACCCTGAAATTCTTGGTAATACCAATGTTCACTTTGCCCTGGTTTTGTTGCAGCATGCCCCATATATAACACAAGACAAGATTGATATATTGATATAAAAGAAAGAAAAGAAAATTCCTTTTACATATTGACGAAACCCAGATTTTGCAACATATTTAGAAATACAAAATAGTTGGTCCTTTTTTGTGTTAATATTGTCAGGACTTGATAAACACAAGTTGGACTAGCTATAAATGGATTCAGTTATCATTACAAACCAATTATTATCTGGAAATCTTGGATAAATTGTTTATGGACTAACTATCACTTGGTAGAAGTCTTTCTCTTTGAAGGATATTGGAGGACCTCCAGACTTTTGCAAGTGGAAGAGAGATGAATGAAGATACGAAGATTACAAAAAAAAAAAATAGAGTTCCGAGAGCCATAGTTAGTTTACAAAAATAAAGTTCATGAATTAGAGATGTAAATCAAACTCATTTAGATTTTATTGAAAGAATCGAGGAATTGAATTAGATGAAAAAAGAACCAAGAAATAACCACCTTAAAGAGGAGAACGTGAAATATTATTGATAAATTGCAAAAGGCTAATGATAAAACAGCAAACTGTTTAAAACAATCAAAAGAAGCTTCTTGATAAAACGAAGATTAATATTAGCTCTAAATTACCAGCAACAAAATGTCAACGAGAAGAAAAAAGCAAAAAAATCACAACTAGATATAAATAATAAAAACAACGAGATGCAGCATCAATGAATCAACAAAATAAGGAGATAGAGAAAAATAAAAGATTAGAACGATTATGAAAATGAACTAAAAAAAAAAAAAGAGAAGAACAAGCATTTAATAAAACATATAAAGTGAAAATAATATTCAGGGACTTCAGATAAAATTAAAGAATTAGTAAACAAAAATTTGAACTGATAAAACAACAAAATATTATTCAAAAAGCCTGAACAACAAAGTCAAGGCCAAGTGAAGGAAGGATAAGCTCGGTACGAATTTATAGTTTTGATTGATTATTCTACTTGTACTATATAGAGGGGTGTTGAACAATTAAAACATTATGATTGTAGAACAAGAGACAAAAAATAATTCATATGATGTCGTAGTATTATTATTGTGGTTTTAAACAATTTTCGATCCCTGAAATCTTTGATGTTGGTTTTGTTGCAGTCTGCTCATATTAACATAATGATGTATTGTGTATGATGATAGCTTTATACAACAATACAGTGATAAACCTGCTCTATAAATCTAGAGAATGTATAATCTATTTATTTAATTGTAATTATACTCGCACTAATTCACTTAATTAACTTGATAATATTCTCATTTCAATTTATCACTCATCTTTATCTTTTTCTTTTACGACTCCAAACATAATATTATATAGTGGATTAAGTATAAATCAACGAAGAGATTAGAATAAAAGTTGCAAATCAAGACAAAACAGATCAGACCTTGTATTTCACTCATTTTGTCCGCTTTTAATCTCTTTCTCGCACTTTTTAATCCAAAAATTTCACCGACACCTCAAAGATCAACTTTTCTATGTACTGCAAATCAACTTTTTTCTATTACAAATCAATTTATCATCCAACAAGTCAGCTCATCAATCAACAAATAAAAATAATCAACTCGTCAATGAATAATTTCATCATCATCATCATCAAGAAGTCAACAAATAATAATAAGTCATCCAAAAATAATAGATCGATTCATAATAACTTTTTTTTTAGTTGTTTAAAATCAACCAATCCACTTTTTTTTTCAAAGAAAACTTTTTTTAATATATATATTGAAATGCTGATGAAATCAACCAATCAATCAGTCTTCTAATCTCAACAAATTAAGAGAATAAATATTTATATGAAAGTATATATGTATATTAATTTTTGTTGAATGACTTGCTGATAGTTTCAACATCTAGGAGTGTTCTTTTACATTATTAATTCATCCATTAATATTTCCAAATAAAATAAAAAGTTTTTCTAGCATTTTTCAAAAAAAAAATATCATAATCAATATATATATATATATAAGTATATTTTTTACAAAATAATAATAATAAGCGTTCCTTCAATAACAATATCATAATAGTAAAAACCTAACATCCATTAATTAATATTGACGGGAATAAGGACTTGGTGAACGAGCACCAGATCTATAATTTGGACTTAATTCTCTCACTTCGGGTGGCGAAGCTCCACGATCATCTATAAATATAACAATAAAAATAATAAGATTTTAATAATGAACTGTAATTGTTAATTGTTCAAAACATTATATAATATACATACATGAATCATAAGGTGGACGACTAGATTTTTTTTATTTTAAATAAAAATAATGGATATTATTAATCACAAATTGTATAAATTTTATTCTCAAAAAGAAAAAAAAAATCTTACCCATGCTCTGCATAACCGGGCTTTTCTTTACGATGTTGATCTTTTCTTGACAATCCAATATCCCAATCTAACTTTAATCTACGACCTTCAATGTTAGCACCATGATATTTATCATATGCATCTTCTGCATCTTTCCTATCCTCGAATTCTACGAATGCAAACCTAAAGACCAAATCGAATATTTATGAATAAATACAAATATTAACGATGTCAGTTGGTTAAGGTTTTCGATTACAGATAAAAAACTTTAACAATTACCCTTTATTTCTTCCAGTATAATTATCCAATTGAACAGTTACTTTTCTCAATCGCCCGTATCTTTCAAACATATCTGCGACATCATGCTCACGAAAAGTATATGGAATATTACCAACATAAAGTGTCGTTGTATCACTTCTTTCTTTATCAGAGCCACTGATTTTTATTAGTAACAGATTGATTGATATGATGATGATAATAACAAAGATAATATTATTAATTATTTTAATATTAATAATAATTAAATATTATTGATATAATTTCAAGATAAGTTGAATATCTACCGGTCAATTGGTTTGGTTCTTCTTGGAGGAGCTCTTCTTTCATAAGGGTATGGGTAATCTCGATATCCTCTATCGTCACGATAACTACTTCTACCATAATAACCACGACTATCACGACTATCACGATTATCACGGCTATATCTACTATCTCTGGTATAACGATCATCCCTGTATCTATCTTCTCTTCCACTGGTGCGATTGTGTCTGGGAGATGGGCTTCTTCTTCTTTTTGGAGACGAAGACATTTCACGATAACCAGCACTTCTTGGAGAAAGTGATTGTTCTCTTCTAGATAATTTATAGATTTTGCAAAAAAAAAAAAGGTTAAAGGAGAGAGATACAGATAAGTAAATATAAAATAGAATAGAAAAATCTAACCTGGAAACTCCGTTTTGTTGATCCATTTTTAAAGCGATAAGACTGAAGAAAATTTTTATAAAATAATAATGTTATTGTGGAATATTTGAATTGAGGAAAATTTATTATTAAATTCGTGTAACCTACAGCCAAAATATTATAATTGGGTTAGTATTAGCTAGGGGTAAGTAAATAAGTGGGGGACCACTCAAGGGTTACACATATAGATCTTGTGAATCCAAAACTGTCACGCCTTCTAAAATTAAAAATGATGCGCATTTCATAAAGTTGAGTTCACAAGGCAAATACCTTTATGTTTTTCCGAGTTTTGTCAAATTTGTAGCAAAAATGATTTTTAGACACTATATTAAATAAATAAAAGATATATTAAACATTTTACTTCTTGTAATTGTTTGCAATTAAAATTCTACAAGTGATAATGAAATTAAAACAATTATAATAATCATAAGTAGTGAATGAATTATGAACGGGTAAAGTAGTAATATAAGTAATACAAATAATTAAGTAATATAAATAATATAAGTAATATATACAGACCAAGCCATACATTAAAGGTTGGTCCAAACACAAAACAATTGAATAACAAACATACATACAAATATGTATGTTTAACAATCCTCAATTTAAAGTAGTTGCTCATCTACTAATAAAGTACGAATGTGCAATTTT